AGGATTATCTTCTGTGTCTGTGTTAATTGGTTTCCCTTTTCTTTGTTGAAGAGGGTCTGTGCAGTCTTTCTGCCTAGTCTGCCATCTTGCCGGATCTTGGGACTTGTGTCTTTTGAGAACGTGATCAAAGTACGAGAGATAAAGTCTGGCCATTCTCACTTCTAAGGAGCATTCCGGCTGTACTTCCACCAAGACATTCATTCATTCTTCTAGCAGTCCATCATTCATTCAGTTTTTTTCATCAGTACCACAACTCAAATGCACCAATTCTGTGGCCTTCTTTATTATTGTCTGGCTCTCACATTCATATGAGGCATTTGAAAATACCATGGCTTGGGAGAAAGCAATACCCTTAATAAATTCTTTAAATTTATTATAGTAGAGATTTAGAGAGTCTCATTCACTTTAGAGCAGTGAATTTATGTTAATGGGGGAGGAACAACTCAGAAGAGGAAGGTGAGAATGGTTGCACAACTTGAAAAATGTAATCAATGTCACTGAATTAAACATGTAGAAATGGTTGAATTGGTATATGTTTTGCTATGTATTCTCAACAACAATAAAATATTAAAAAATTAAAATAATAAAGAATGGCTTATGTTCCTGTGAGTAAGCTTTTGATTAGTCTTTTCTTCATTTAGTTCCATGTTCCTTTTTCAGAGATACACACACAAACACAAACACATAGTTGTCATTTTGAAAATGAAGAAAGTAGTAACTTTAATTTCCCTACATTTCTTAATTGGCCTTTGGGCATTCAGTTTAAATATTGTTTCCTTGCCTTTCAGTTACAGATGAGGACACGGTAAAGAGGTATTTTGCCAAGTTTGAAGAAAAATTTTTCCAAACATGTGAAAAGGAACTTGCCAAAATCAACACATTTTATTCAGGTGAGTGCTCTTTTTGGTATAACATATAAGAGACAATTTCTGCTGTTAGGGAAGGAGAAATTCTGTGTTATTTAAACTTATGGTCAACATTTCATTGAGCCTTGTTTTCCTTGCTATACTGCATTAACGAGATACAGTCTGCTCTCTAGTAGCCGGGGGTTCTGCATTCATGGACTCAACCAACCATAGATCAGAAAATATTTTGTAGGGGATGCATCTAAGTAGAGCAATCCTTCAAAGGCTAAGAGAGAGCATAAAGTGCTATTAACATAGAACATATATTTTATTAGTTATTATAAATACTTTAGAGATGATTTAAAGTATATGGGAGGATGGGCATAGGTTCTTGCAAATGCTGTAATGTTTTGTATAAGGGACTTGAGCATTTAATAGGGAGGGGTCTAATATGAGGAAGCTGTCCTGGAATCAATCCCCCATGGATGCTAGGGGAGGACTGTTTTATTTAGCTGGTGTAGGAATACATCTGGTGCCTCAGTGTTTGAGCCTTATCTGGTCATTGCCTAGATTCTCTTGCGGTTACGAGGATTTCAAGACCTCTCTGTGAAGTAGTACCTTGATAAAGCTTCACAATCCATGGCCCAGTCAGAAGCTTTAGAGTCAGAATCTTGATTTCATCATCTTATCCAGACATGAATTCTGTGATTATAACCTATCACTTATGTCAGTTTTTATGCCTCTCCATTGTCTGGAGCACACGGATCTGTTTCTCTAGACAGTGGTCTCCAGAATGGAACCTACAGGATGCCATTGGAGTGTGAGAAGAAAATGTTAGAACTTCTGTTGATTTTTGGCTGATTTTATGTGTGTTATTTTATATATTTTTATGTACATTTTCTGTATATTTCAAACCATGTAACATTCTCCTCAATTCTCTAATTCTGTCATCTTCCCTATCATAGTTATTATACCCTCTACTTTACAAATAGAAATAAAGGCCATTGACTCCTGTTGATGTGTAACATTTTTGCATATCTATGCCATTCTTCGTTTCCTCCCACAAAAAAATGCCTATACCCATTTTCTCCCTTATTTATTTTCCCCCAGTCTTTGTGGATATGATATCCCTCTTCAGTCCGTAACAAATCTCTACAAGTATTGACTCAATTCCAGCTTCTCTAGTAATTATTTTCTCTAAGAATTAACAAGTGACTCCCGTCAGACAAAACAGACAAATAGCAAGCAAGTTTCTTTTCATTTTTTTGAACAAAGATACATTATTTTTCATTTACTGTAACTCAGGGGAGCTCTGGTGGCATCGTGCCTAAGACATTTGACTGCTAACCAGAAGGTTTGGCGGTTCAAACCCACCAGCCACTCTTTGGAAAGAAAGTTGGACAATCTACTTCCATAGTGATACCGCCTTGGAAACCCAAGGAGAGGTCGCTATGAGTCAGGTCTAACTCGACAGCACATAACAACAACAACCACATCACTACAGCAGTAGATACTTTTGAGTTGTGGTGTTGGCAAAGAATACTGAAAGTATCATGGAACGCCAAAAGAACTAACAAGTCTGTACTGGAAGAAGTGCAGCCAGAGTGATCCTTCATCTGAGCTACTTTGGTCATGTCAGAGGGGACCCTTCACTGGAGGAGGATACCATGCTGGGTGGGGTGGAGAGTCAGTGAAGGCAAGGAAGGCCCTCAACAAGATGGATTGACACAGTGGCTGCAGCAGTGGGCTTAGGTATAGCAAGAATTATAAGTCTATCACAGAATCGAGCAGTGTTTCATTCTGTTGTATATGAGGTCACTGTGAGTCAGAGTCAACTTGATGACACCTAACAACAACATTACTGATAATGCATTATTGTGTATGTAATGTTTATCTTTGTTTTATGTAACTCTTGTGCACTTCTCCATGTCTTTTTCTTTGTGATATTATGTTGGTCACCCAATATTTGTATATTGTTTTTCCCCTCACCCAAATTACTAGATATCTCTTAACCTGGTTAGCTATTTTCCCTTCCCTCCTCTCCCCTCCTTGGTAACCATTAAACAGTATTTGTTTCTGTGTGTAAACCTTTGTACTTGTCCTTTTGTGATTGACTCAGCATAATGTCTTCCAAGTTCATCCATATTATAAGGTGTTTCACAGATTTTTTATTATTCTTTTATGTTGCATAGTATTCCGTTGTGTGCATACCATAATTCGTTTATCCATTCATCTGTTAATAGGCACTTAAGGTTGTTTCCATCTCTTTGCTATTGTAAATAGTGCTGCTATAAACATGCATGTATCTGTGTTCTAGCTCATACAGCTTTATTATATATACCTAGTGGTGAGATTGCTGGATCAAATGCTTTTTTTCTATTTCTGACTTTTAAAGGAGCACTATACCACTTTCCACAGTGGTTGCACCATTTTACAATCCCACTAGAGCATATGAGAATTCCAGTCTTTCCACACCCTTGTCCACATTTGTTGTTTTCTGTCTTGTTGAACTTTGCTGCTATTGCTGTGGTGAGATGTTATCTCACGGTTGTTTGGATTTGCATCTCTCAAATGGCTAATGATCATAAGCATTTCTTCATGTATTTGTTGGCCCCCTGTATATCTTCTTTGGTGAAGTATCTGTTCATGTCTTCTGCCCATTTTTTAATTGGATTGTCTATCTTTTGATGTTGAGGTGTTAAAACATTCTCTAACTTTGGCAGTAAGTTTCTTGTCAGATGTCTAAGCAAGCACATTTCTTGATTCTTTATCCTGGTCTTCATCTTTTATTTACTACTGAATTTCCTCCTACTCAGGGCACAGAACAGTGAAAGAGCATCACACATATGGAGGTCTGTTTTTTACTAGATTACTAGCACCTGAAGACAGAGACAACATAGAAACATTATTTGAAATCATGCAAATAGATAGGTTTTCTACAAGGGAGAAATGTAAAAAAGGAATTACACTATTCTAAGGACAAAGATAATTTCGACAATTACAAATGAGGAGAAAAAAGAAGAACCAACAATACAGACAGAAAAAGAGGGCAACCATGTAGAAAGAAAAGGAGGATGATAAAATAGGAAGGTATTTTGCAATAGAAAAGAGTACTTAGAATGAGAAAAGTCTATTATATGTGATCTAGGGCTATAAATAAAATTATAAGGTCACATTTATTAGTATTTCCCTTTTTTTTTTTTTTTTTAATTGTGATTTGGATGAAACTTTACAGAGCAAATTCACTTTCCATACAGCAGTTCACATACACTTTGTCTCATGACATTGACTACAATTTACCACAATGCATCAGCTCCCCTCCCACTTCCTCCCCATAGCTACCTCTTCCTGTGTCCATCCCTCCATGCACTCCTGCTCCCTGAGCTGTCTCGCTGTGTATACACAGCCCTTCTTTCTCACATGATTGTTTTCTCCAAGGAGTGTATCCACCTCAGTAAGTGTTCAACTCATGTGTCTTTTGTTTGATTGGAAGCCACAGGTATGGGTTCAATTCCAGACCTGAAAGTCAACTATGGACCATAGTCTCAGTGGTTCCACCAGGCTCTATCAGACCAGCAAACCTGGTCCACCTTTTGTTGTTGTTGTTGTTTTTCTCCCACAATGGTTTTGAGTTTTGTTCCACATTGTTTACTCTCTCCATCCAGTATCTCCTACATAGATCTCCCTCCGAGTGGTTGACAATGGTACCATCCAGTTCTTTTGGTCTCATAGTCATACAGGCTGCGGATCACATGGTGTACCAGTCGCTAGGACTAATTGTTTCCATGAATATTTGGTTTTCTTCATTCTTCTCAGCTCTGAATGAGGAGATATCCATCGTTGCACCTAGGTGGCTACTTGCAAGCTTTTAAGATCCCAATTGCTACTCGCCAAAGTAGAAGGTGGAACAATGTTTTGTGTAGTATGTTATGGCAATTGAGCTTGGAGTCCCCTGCGACCATGGTTCTGAGCCCACAAGGTCAATTACTCGCTCCCTCTGGGTAGCAGGATATGACCAGGAAATGACTACAACCTTGTTCCTTGTCAGCTCTACTGTACACCTGGGAATTCTTACAGAACATACAAATACACTTCTAGAACCATTGTATGCCAACCCTACACATGATCTTGGGGACACTCCCCACTGCATAGACATAGCTAACAGTTCAGCCTGTCCACCTATCTATCCACCCGTATACCCATGTTTGCCTTCAGTGACACTGCAGTACTATATGTGCAAAAGGGTTCATCTTTGTTGTCTGTACCTCGCATGTACCTCTTTTATGTCTTCCTCTTCCTCATTGCCACCATGTTGATTGCTCACATTTGGTACATTGCCCTTCTCTTCACCCAAATCAATACTTATCTCTACCTATCTAACAGTGTTCCCTCCCCTACTCTCCTACCCCTGGTAACCAGCAAAGAAAATTTCCTTCCATAGATAAACCTTTCCTTGACTTTTACAATAATGAACTAATACAATATTTGTCCTTCTGTGATTGACTTATTTCACTCAGCATAATGTCCTCCAAGGTCATTCATGTTATGCGGTGTTGTGGAGATTCTACGTTGTTGTTTAGGGTTGCATAGTATTTCATTGTGTGTATGTACTATACTTTGGTTATCCATTACTCAGTTGATGGACACCTAAGTTGTTTCCATCGTTTGGCTATTGTAAATAGTGCTGCGATGAACATGGGTGTGCATATGTCTGTTCTTGTCATGACTCCCTTCTTCAGGATATATACCTAGTAATGGAATGCTGGGACTAATGGTATTTCTAATTCCAACTTTTTTTTTTTTTTTTTTAAACTACCACATATACCTTTTATTTCTTTCTCTTGTCCCATTGCTCTGGCTAGGAGTTAAAATACATTATTAATAGGAACATTAAGAGTAGCCATCCTTGTCTTGTTCCTAATCTCAAGAAGAAAGCTCCCAGCCTGTCGATTTTTCATACATGCCCTTAATCACGTTGAGCAACTTCTTTTGTGTTTCTGTCTTGTTGAGAGTCTTAATCAAGACAGAGTGTTGGATTTTTTTTT